AGAACATTTCCTAAAGCATCGAACAAATGTAATATATTAAATTTTTGAAATAAACAACATTCATAACGAGGTTATATTTATGACTTAAAGCAGTTAAACAATAAAATGTCCAACAAAAGAAAAAAAAAATAAGAAGAAATTATGAATAGTTTTTAACGTGTTAGATATACTCATTTATTTTTTACAATGTTCACTATAGTTTTTTTTTTCGCATCGATAATGTTTTAAATATTTATTTAAAAATATTTGTCATACATTTTCAGCTCAAATAATTGATAAAATGAAATGTATCAGCTCTTCGTAATCTATGTTATTCATTTTTCCCAATCAGCATTCAAAACACTAATATTTACTTAATTTGAGAACTATTTTTCTGTAGTTTTCCAGCTGTTTTTTTTTTTTTTTTTCTTCAAGAGACGTAGATTACAAAGTGTTATTGTTTTCTGAAATATAGCCGGTGCAACTGATTAAACCCTTTATCTTTCATCACTTTCTCCTCCGATAGTGCTATCTTAGCACCGGAAATTTACCTTCGACGTTTAACAGCTCTAAATTTTATGGAATTTAAATGTTTAAGAATTCGAAAACTCAGTCACATACAATCGTTAATGTGGCGACTGATAAAAAAAACCGTTACTGAAGATTATCTAATTTGAAAATTCTAAAATAATTGAAAATTAGTAAAGCTATAGATTATCCTTGTATTAGATTACATAAAATATTAGAATGGTTATGATTTAAGGTTTAAAAACATTTTTCATATAAATACGAACATTTTTTTAGTACTTAAATTAAAAATAGAAAATTCTGAAATATTAGCTGTATATCAGTGCCCCGGAGAAAAAGGATACCATGCACATTTTTTTTTTTTTTTTTTTTAATAAGTTAGTTAATAAGAAACAATTTTTAATACATAATTATAGAAAATCAATACCTTCGGAGTACAGATGTCTATGAAACAAATTTTAGTAGCTAAATTGGCTTCCTAAACAAAGACAAAAATGGACATGGTGTTTTTTATTTCTCGTGAGCAGCTCGCTTTTGAGACTTGAATGAATGAGTAAAATAATTTTATTAAGGTTACCATGAACTTAAAAATAGATTCGATTCACGTTTTGTATAAAACTACTCTGGTACGAAAATAATTATTAAAATAAATTAAGCTGACTTATAACGTCATGGTCAATTAACAAATTTTAATAATATAATGAGTATCTGTGTACGTATCCGTAACACGAGCTGTCCTGTAGATTCTATTTCATATTTAATTGAACATTTCAATACAATAGGTCAGTAATCATAAAAAAAAATCATTATTTTTATGATAAAAAAAATATTTAAAAACTAATTATTTAATTGACATTAATAACTACAGTATTGGCAAAATGGAATTCAATATGATTTTTCGAGAGAATATTTTTATTTGAGGATCACTCGTGTGAATTGGGAAGTTATGTAAGTGTCGGTATTGCTCAAAACACTACTCAACTTCAATGAAAAAAAAAAAAACATGGATTCATCTCCAAGAGTTAAATAATAAATCACGTGATGTTTATAAAGATATGACCAAGGTTCTCACATACAAATTTTTTTTATAAGAGATTTATAATTATTACAAGATTTTTATTCCAAGTGTTATCCCCCTCTCCGTTTAAGTATTTGCTAGCGATCTTGTTCTAGTGAACTGTTTGAAGGAACCCTGTATCAATATTAAATAATTCAAATGCAAAAAATGTCATACTTTAAAACGATTAGATAATTTATTAATTGTACACGGTGGCTTGAACTAATACGGTGACTACGCAAAAATGGTCTATTCATTGAAGACCTTATTTTATCAGACCAAAATATTGATTTATAAGCGTGAATAATATTTCTTTTTTGTAATAATATTACACTGCAGGGACCAGTTTGCATCACAATTTTCTTTTGATTTTTTTTTCTTTTTTAAGATATAAAATATCTATATTTAGTTTGTCAAATAGATATTCATGTCTTTTATTTGTCGGCCCAAGTCTTCCACTGAGGTCCTATACTAGTATTGTTTTGATTTCAACATTAAACTAAAAAAATAAATAAAATTACGGTTAATTTTCAATAATATCTCAGTATCCTTTAAAATAAATAAAAATTTTTTCAAACTTTGCTTATAATACATTTAATTGTAAAGATCCAAATAAATAACAACAAATAAGAGTATTTTTCCTACCGATCTCTAAATATGAGTTAAGAAAGTGATTGAACCCTTATCGTAATTATCTGAATTAATGTTTACATTATCGTTTTTTCATTTAATTTAAATAACAATGTTGCTGTCAACATATTATGCTGATAAAAAAAACAATGTCAATAAAACATCTTGGAACTACTTGTACATAATGTGTACAAGTTAATCATCGGAGTTACAGCAAGGAAATAACAAAATAATAAAAATGTTCTGTATTTAGTTTTATATTAAATAAATATATAACGTTTTTATTATTGTGTTATTTCCTTGTTGTGACTTCGGTGACTAACACTACTTAATGGTGATGACATTTATCGTCATCAATTTCTACAAAATTCACATAAAGACGGAGTCGGAATGTTCAAATAAGATGGAAGCAAACAATTTTTTTTAGTGCACTTTAATGTAAAGTGAACATAAGCCATGACATTGTAATAAAATTTATATAAAAATAGAAACGAGATGGTGTCACGACCAACGGCCTCACGGATTCGTCCTTGCCTATTCTATTAACGTTTTCTTTCCTAGCGTACTCGCTACTCATTCATTAGGTATCGATTCTGGTTACGATAAGCTAATATATTATTTTAAATAATAAATTAAATACCTTTTGATCGATTAAATAAATCGATATGATGAAACGTTAAATGATTGTACTAACTATAAAGTTATCCTGTAATAAGTTTCTCAACTCTGCATTCAGATAGAATAGAATAGAATTGAATTTATTTGTTAAAGATTATTTTACAATCTTGTACAAATGATACATATATGAATATCTTTATTTCACCTACATGAGTCTAGTTTATCCTAACTGTACATTAACTTATTATAAAAACAATAACTAAACAATAATACTTCATTACATTCCAATTAATTTCTATCTACATTATCAATAAAGCCAAAAAATAAAAAAGAAACAAACAATTAATTGAACTGACCAACAATTATCCTTAGTCATAGCACTTGGTTGGTGTGTGGAACATCAGAGCTTAAGGAATCCAGTGAATTGCACGCTGACATTATGAACCAGTAAATTTTATTAAGTTTCTCTATGCTATCGATTCGAAGTATGTCTTGTATCTTGTTTACATCACTTGGCGCAGTGAGAAATGCTCGTAAATGTTTGTGTCTGTTGTCTGTTAGCTTTTCTCAGTACAGAAGGATATGGAACAGGCTGTTAGTAATGAATTGGTTACAGAAAGTGCAGGTTTCCTGGGCTTTGAAGTAGAAACTTCGTTTTTCGTATAGAGCTTAATTAATTCGGGATTTCAAACCCTTAACTGACTTATTGATCTTAGCTTTTTCATGTTAGCTCTATACATCAAATAGGACTCTGGGCTGGAAATATTGAAGCTGGAAATAGTTCTATATATGGGATTGTTGTTGGAATTTATCGGTAAATGGATGTCTTTAGATAGGTTATGGTTTTTTAGCGTTTCCAATATTTCATCGCTGTATTTTAATAATCCAGTTGGGTATACTTTATCGAACTCTTCTTTACAGCCATAATGAGCAGCTATTGATCTGACTTGTGTGATCCATGTGACTTGTATTCAGATAGATCTAATTGTAAACCATTTAAAATGACATACATTTTCGTTTCTTATTATCATTAAACACAGGCTAATAATAAATTATATATTTTTAACATAATTTAAACGATATATTTTTAATATGATATAAATTGTATATTATTAATATAATATGAATTATAATATTCTAATAAAATATAAATTATATATTTTTCAATAATATTTACATCCCGTTTCTATCATTAAAAATAAAGAACTAATACTAACGATATTCTGATTAATTAGAATTTATAACGTTAATTTTTAATAATTTATTGTATGTAATTTAAACTCTATTTAAACTCTAGTTTTACTCTATTTACACCACTATGTTTTTGTCATTTATTTTTATAAATATATTTTTAATAATTCAATATTAGTAAACATTGCCACTCTGGAATTTATTGGAACAATACCAATCAATAATAATTGATATTTATTCTATAAAAATGTCTTATAATTAAATTATATATAAATAACAATTGACCTTTGTTAGAAGTCGTGATCTTGAATCTTTTAAGCCTGAACTTAAACATTTTCGACTCCAGCAGTCAAGATTCGATTCTGCTCTGGCCGGAAGAAATTTATTTCATGGCGGTCCCACGAAAAAAAAACTGGTAAGCGGGATAATTCTCGACCTCCCTATACTACTCTTGTCAGAAAAGGTTTGGTTGTACCTCTAGAAACCAGAGGCCAGAAATGGCGAGGTAGGGTATAATCGAAAAAAAAAGTTGAATTTACCTCTGGTTCGACATTCCGCCCAAAAATTGGATATATTTTAATTTAAATGATGACACCTTTTTTTTACTCTCCTTTTAGGGTATTGGAGGATTTTCCCGAGCCAGAGAGAGAGGGCAGTGGATTAATGCCAAAATCAAAAATTCTATGTGACGTTGAAGGAAATTTGATCTGGTTTACTTTGAAACAATTTTTTTTATTTTATCGATAATCCTACCGTTATTTCCGGCTTACCAAACCTATTCTCACCAGAGTGGGAAGGTCGAGATTCGTTCCGAGAGTCCGCCACGAAATAAATTTTAACTCGCCCACACCGGATTCGAACCGCCGTCGTTAGACTCGAGAATGTTAAAGTTTACCCTTTAACACGCTCAGCCATGACGACCTCTAATGATAACGCCTTTAAAAATAAACCATAATGTCTAAAACCAGGAAGAACCCAAATTACATATTTCAGCTGACTATCGCGCCCTGTTACAGGCGATTTCATCATTATCTTGTTCTGGCAAAGGCTGTCCTCCATCCCGGATATTCCGTATAAATAAGAGGATCGGCACCCATTGGCCAGCGCCTCCTCGTAAAAGCGGAGGCCGCCCTCCCCTGCGAAATACCAGAGGTCCAGCTTTATCTCTGCGGGGGAGAATATTTTTATTGAGGCAACGATACAGCTTCGGATTCCGCTCTCGAGATTTAAGGCACACTAAAAGCATTTTGAGATCTGTTCCCACGGCAATGACGCCGTCTGTCGGATATTTTAGGGCCGATAATTCCATAATTTAATATCGATTCCTTCCAAGAGGCAAGTAGAGGTGGTTAGCATAGAGATGAGAACTGTCAATCAGTAGGGACAACGTGTTGCAATTCCTTAATAAATGGAAATATTCTACTTTGTAATAATATATTAAATAACGTTTATTGAAATAAAATTTTGTTTTCTAAATAAAACTGCTCTTCTTCGCCACCTGCATATAAACAATTCTGGGTCTGTAAATGGTCTAAAGAAGTGTAGACCTAAATTTTAATTTTTTTACAGTATTTCAAATGAGATAGCATGGCGATTTTTTCAAAAACCGTACCTATTTTCTTTTATAAACTATACCCTAACACAAATTCTCTAGTTTCTAATCGAACCCCAATATTCTTCAATGGATATGGCTTCTAGACATTCTCATGGAATTGTCATTAATAAATTTCTCTAGAAGCAGTTCAAAACAGATCAAAATGTCGAGACTTAGATACATGTCGACCATTTGCAGTTGAATGCATCCAAATGAGAAAAAAAAAAACGTTTTCCACAGCCACTGTTATAAGCACATTGCTCTTACAGGTATTTACTCCATTTCGTTGACAACATTACTCTAACTCATAAAAGCGTATCTAATTGTATACAATTCAACATTAGTAATATTTGATAGCCTTTAAAAATACCTATAAAAGGTATATATAAAAAGCCTATATTTCACATTGTCAATAGAATCCTTTCTTCCTTAATCCTTTCTTCATCTTTCAAATACAATTTTTTTTTTTATATGACTAAATTTTTGCCATATGAACTATTGGTCTCATACTTTCAATTAATATGTCACTTCTGCTAATCATGTCACCCTTAATGGAAGCGCCATGACGAAATATTCATCAATTTGGTATGCAAGATAATTTTCAAATCCTCCAGATCGCCTTCATTTGACTCGATTTAAAGTCACTTATATCAACTGAACTAACAAATTAGGTAATTGGTTTTTCGAGTGTTACTGTTGCCCGATCCATACACCTCCGCTTATCCGATAGTAAGCGTTGATGAGGTAGCGCAGCCATACACCTGCCACTACTGACCAGATCCAAGATACAAGTGGATGTCGAGGCTGGTAATAAGACAGAGGACAGTAGATAAGAGGGTAGGTGTCGGTGAACGCCACTCAGACCGCCTAATGAGGCGTTTTCCAATCAAAGGAAACGCCAATTAGCCAGCTCGGCTAGGAGGACCTCAGGAGACGGTAGTCTTTTTGTCCTGAGGACCATCCTCCAATTATACCGAGCGGGAGGAATGCAATGCGGCATTCTTCGGCAGCCTCTTTAAATTAATTGGCCTCATTTGGATGGGATATGTGTTGAATGGGCGGGCCGTTGTGGGCAGCGTGTCGTACCTCGAGCGAGGGCTCGCGGGCGATCGTAAATCTCTTCCAACTGTCACTGTTTATTTCATTTGTACAAAAAAGCTGGAGCTAATTGAATCGACCCTGTGTCTGTCCCCGTTCCCTTTTATCTGGGATATATTTTATATCTTAACATCCTGATCCGTAGCGGAGGCAATGGGATATGGATCAAGCAACTCTCACATTATACGAATTTGAGTTGGAGTAAGTTCCATAACAGCAGCCAGATATATTGTCTGATCCCATGACAAACCAAAATTCTCTTCACAGCCATGCGATAATTATGTTTCAAAAAATACGGATTTATCTCAAATTTTCAAAAAATCCTTTCAGACCGCTTTTCCGTTCGATACCACTTCTATCAGAGGTGTTACTTGCATAAATTTTTTTCCCGTTTGATAATTTAATAAAAAAAGGAATCATTTTTAAAAATTCAATACTAAAACATTCTTGTATCTTATCACCTGCAACTGCTTTTATTGAAGTACTTACCTTGCTCCAATTCGATAGCTTCTTAATTGTTTAAATATATTTTCTTCTTAAATCTCCACTTTGATCCTTCAAATTGAGCAACGTATTTTTGGTTTGGCAATGGTAAATTAAGTAAATAAAATGCTATCACGATACTAGGAAATTATTTTCAATTTGCAGTGGAGTACTTTTACCTTGGCAGGTTTATTCTATTCAAGGTAAAATTTCGAAATTAAAAACAGAAAAAAAATAGATAATGAAAACATACAAAAAAAAAAAATATTTCAGTAGTGATAAAAGAAAAGTTGGATTCTTCACCTACTATTATTTTAGAAACAAACTTAAAATCACAAAAAAAAAATTGTATATTTAATGATATTTATAATAAATAATTATCTCATAATTAATAAAACAAAAATTATATTTAGACGAATCAGCTGGAAGTGGCTTGTCGACAGCACTTCACTAAACTCAACAGTGGAGTAGTCACAATAGCAAAAGTAGTCGGGATATTATTAAATGTTAATGGATGGGATTGTGTGTTAATATAAGGCCTGAGGACAGGGAATAATAAAATAAAGGGCGCTGTCAATCAGAGGAGGGGGTATAAAAAAGCTGTGGATACAATAAGGACAACTATTAAATCATGTCCTTAGCCCTACCGCTCGCTGATACCATTACTCTTTGTCTCCCCCGTCGTCTTCTTTTTATATCCTTCTCCAGTTCGACTCGTGTTTTTTACTATCTTACTCCTTTTTTTATTCTTACCTCCCTTTGAAGATTTATATGAAAACTAATGGATTTGCTGCTAATTATCGATTTATTTCTTAATGGATATGGTATTTTTTAATACGTTCTGTTCGACATTTTTTGACCTTACAAAGCAATAGAAAAAAATATTTTTGAGCAATTCTTCTTACTAAAAAAAAAAAAAAAAAAAAAAAAACGGTACCGTTAAGGAAGATACAAAATTGGTCCTAACTCCTTTTCTGTTTGGAAGAGGTGTTCCTCATCCAGTTTTTCATCCAGACTTAGTTAGGTTTCTCGTATCTAAAAAATTACAGTAATATCTCTATAGTAATAAACTAATAAGTAACTGCAAGACTGTTGCGATACTCTTGCGCAAGACCAAGACTGAGTTTGCAAGACCAAGAATCGTCTCATACTTAGGCAACACTAGCAAATAATAACTTATACACCCTATATACATATATCAATAGCTCTTTTTTATTAGAATACCTTTTATTAGAATAGAGGAGTTTAGGAAATTTTAAACATATTTAAAATAAAAATTAATACAAAAAAAAAGCTGGAAATTATTACACAATGGTTTATTTTAGGCAGATAGTTATATATCAAATATGTGTGGAATGTTATCCTTTCCGTACCACTTCGAGGAAAAACGAATGACAAAATGAGTAAATATCGATCAGCTTAACTTTTTTTTCATTCTTTTTATCATTATTTTTCAAATTATAAATTATTCTCGATTGCTTCAAAGCATGTAACTTAGTCTTCGAATAATCAAGAACCAAAACAATATAGATCGGCTTTGCAGTAGAATATGCTGTTTACAATGCTATATCTTTTAAATGTGTACTTTTTGATTTATTCTATATTTATTATCAATTCTTTATCGCGAAATATTACAATCTTTCACATCCAAGGACACTAATAATAGCGCTAGAAGAATTATACATATATAATGTTACTAGTTCATTAGTAACTAGCCAATAATTACTAAACTAGTCCTTTAAAATATGCAATCTTAACAAAAACGTATTAAAGTAATCTTTAAATCATTACAATGAATTTCTTAGACTCAACTTGAAGGGAAATATAAAAAAAAAAATTTATATCTTTTTTCTTCCTATTCTTACATTAATTGGGTAAAATGTATATCATACAATGACCAATATGATCTCAATTTAGAAAAAAAATATATTAACATGAATGAAAAATAATGAAGTTAGTTGTTAATTCGTTTTAAATGGCATTGGTATTAACTTCAAAATCAGTAATGAGGTAATATTTATTGAAAAATAAATTAAATAATAGATTCATAAACAATTGCCGTTCATCTTCACTGTCTAGACGTCTTTTATCTTCCTAGTTATCGTTGACTCATAGCTTATTCCCGCACTGATATGCCCATAGGTAGCTAACTTGGTTTTCCTTATTGGAGTCAATTGAAAGTTATGTAATCGGTCATTAGAACAACAAAACTGCAATAATGTGGCGTATAAATTATCTAAGGTGCGCCTGAATTCAGTTTTTTTACGAAAATGAGTTAGGTAACTAATTGGATTCTTTAAGGTCCGTTTGAATGATATCCATGTATTTGTCAGAAACGTTTCCAATAAGTTAAAAGAATCTAGTAAGGCGATCACAGAACTTATAAGACGAAATATAATCTTGTTCAAAATGCATAACATTTTTTTTTTTATGTGATGTATTATCAAAACTTGTGGGTTTTAATAAATATCATTAATTTTAAGATATTTAAATACTTATATTTTAACACTTATAATAAAGTATTGTGCGAAAACAGGTATTCCGAAAGGATGATGCTTGCGAATCGAACAACCGTGGAGTATTATTTAGAAAGCCAGTCCGGTAACTCGGAGCGTATTCATTTAAATAGGAAGCCGCAGAGTCTTCCCCTTAGGGATAAGCATGGAGCATTCCGCTGCAAACAATGGCCAGAACATTCCTCTCCACCGCAACTCCTTCTCCAATGGGAAGCCCTTCGGCGAACATGAGCATAATGGAGGCTGCCCTCTGCCGAGCTGTTGATAGCGTGTACTGATCCAGCCAGGATCAATCCGATGATATCTGCAACCTCAGGAGACCATGACCGTGAAGTCTGGCTTCGGTCAGGAAGTATCGTTCGTACCATCCGTTCTGGTATGGGTTCTCATCAGCCTCGATAACAGAAATGTTTTATTAGTTGAACGGATGAAGCTTTCGTTTTATCTAGTTTAACAGACACGTATGGATTTCGTCTTATAAAATAAATATTTTTGATATCATAGAATAACACTAATGATAATAAAACTTACTTATAAATGAACAACCATAAATTTGTAAGCTGTCGATCATGCAGCTAAATTCGAAATAACTGGACAATTTACTGTAAATAGAAAATCACAGTTATATTGTAAAATAATGCGTAATGCGTGTGCGTATCGAAATGTAATTACATGAGAAGAAACTCGTACCATTGGTTCCAACCTCGTTTCAGGATTCCTTAATATTCCTCATTTGTCTTCTTTATTCATTTAAAAATATATATCCACCTCTTTGCTAATCAATCATACATATGAATTAATAAATTTCAGAATAGACTTTTTTTTTCTAATAATAAAATGTTCATGTAGTTCGACAATGTCTAAATTCCTCAAACAGATAAAGTTCAATATCTTAGACTCACCTTAGACACAGAAGATTGACACCCACATATCAAGAACAAAACAAAAACTCCAAACCTGAGACTACGACCATTATATTCAATCCTTTCAAGATGTTCGTAATTAAAACTTAGATAGAAATTGAATAAATATACTTACATACTTAAGTCGATTTGGACGCTTCACAGATATACTGGGCAACCAAAAAGACCCACATAAGTAAACTGCAAACTTTTCAATCAAACATTTCGGAACTGCAAAGCTCGGCCAGTAGGTACGAATCATGGAACCCATTATTCAATTATGCCTATTAGATAAACCCTATCTTGATAACATCTGTGCTTATATTCATAAGAATTATTGTATATAACTAACAATGTATTGAACGCTAAAACAAAGTAATAAAATGCGAAACCAATTACAACAATGAAAATAAACGATACTTAAAAAAAAGTATTAACTTTTCAGATAAATATCTCAAAAATACCAAAATTAAAGGAAGTAATTTTTAGGTATTAGTTTTTATTCTTTAGGCATACTGGAAATATGTCTGTACGAGTAAAATGGTTAATTAAATAAAAAATTCTAGAAGAGAAAATATTGTTGAGTTGCTGCGCTGCAATGAAAATGGCGATTTCTATTTGAAAGAAACAAAAGAATGAAGGTAAAAGATATGGGACAATGGAGTAAAGGTCGGCAGCCATTATTTTGGGAGGCTATTAAAGATGAATTAAGCGGGAACCCTCGAAGGCCGGATAATTACAGGGGCCCGGTGTCAAGACGGAATTTTAAATAAAAACAATTTTCCTTGTGCCCATTATCTGGTGTTAAAATGTTAAATAGGGTCTGTCTTTGTGGCAATTGGGATCCCTGGCACGAAACCTGGCCACGAAGATTCCCAAATGTGTTGAGTCGAGGTGGAATCGGTTCGGTCTTAACGAAGTAGCTATTTGATATAACAAGGTATTTATTGTCACCTATTTCTAAGGGTATTTCTCTTCGCCAAGGAACGGTTCACATAGTTTTAAACTGACACGGTATTATGAAATCCTTCATTTAACTAATTTTCTGTAACTTTTCTCCCATTCTCAGAGTATTTAACTTTAAAAAACATAAAAAAGTCTGACCAAGAAGTCAAGCGAATAAAAAGGTAAGTTAGTATGATTCGGATAGTTACAAGTGGAGTGTAAATATGTTAGGTCGAAAAGTAATGAATCACTAAAATCAAAAAACAATCATTAATGAAGCTATAAAAAAACAACAGAATTATAGTTGTACATTAATATGTGACTTTAAGCTATTTTATTATTCTTATACATGATTAAAGTATCATTTTCAAAACGAATATCTCCAAATCTTAAAAAAGTTGCTATCTGTAACTCACAATGATCTATTAAAATATCACAAGAAATAATATTAAGCTCAGGTATGCCCAGAAGGAGATTGCATGACGCAGGTTGCACCATCAAACTTTTTGAGGGACATTTTAAGTCAGTTTCAAATTTTCAAAAAGACACATTTTGAGATGATTATGACTTTTTGTAGAGAATCACATCTTAAAGGAGTTACAGTTATGGGAGAAATTTTCAATCAGGAAACAAGGAGAAACCATGTAACTTATGACATAAGTATAATTATAGATGATTCTCAATTTTTCTTAATTATCCATTTATTGCACTGTTAGGAAGAAGAGAGCAATAGATTTTCATTGAAACAAGAGGGACTTGCGCATTGACCATAAGGAGATAGTGGAGTTTTTAATAATCCCCTGCTTGAAGTTGTGTGAAGTTTGTTATTCAAACTGAACTAATGAATACAAATATGTCGATGGGTAGTTAGTTTACGTAATGTTTTATTATTTACCTATCTATGATTTTTTGTTATTATTTTTAAAAATTTTACTCAAAATATTTTGGTTATGTAAGCATACTTTTTGGCTAGGAACAAGCATTAACCTAAATTATTGCACGGTCGCGTATTTAGTTTCTGACTATGTTTCAGTTTTGAGGTTTTAGAAAGAGGCGAGTAAATTAACACAGAGTCTTTCGTTTCATTTTGACACGAGGGCTTCAAGTTATCTTACGGATACAAAACCGAATTTACATTAAAAATTACTCCGTTAGATCGTATCCGAGTTACGTGAAACAAATTATTCTGAATGAGATTCAATGAAATTCTCTCTAATGGAAAGCATGACGATTTCTGCCGAAAAAAAAGATCTAATCCTAAGCTATCCGGCCAAGATTAATGTTGTTATCAACATTGTTATCTGGCTCTAGAAACACATCATTTTTAACAGCTCGTAACTCTAACGGTGAAAAAACACTTATTTACTTATGATTTAATGCTATGATACTGCAGGCAGACAGCGTATGATTAAGTAATGGAAAAAAAAACAAACAAGAAAAAACAAAAACCAATAGATATAAGTTATACCTAGATAAGAAACTTACCATTTTCACTATCGCTTAACGTTCATTAGATACCACAGAAAATTATTATAATTGATTTGACACATTAGGTAAAGTTAAATATGCAATGATAAACGTATAAAATAATGATCTTGATTTAAAATATTCAACTATTAATGTTTAAATAATGTTTTTTTCGGAAATATGTAATAATTAAATAAAGATTGGGAAAATCAAGACATTATTTCAATCGCCTGACTTATTCCTTGACTTGTGTCTAGGACTCATTTATTTAGATTGGAATGAGTCAGGAAGTGTCTGATAAACCACGCAGAGAATGACTACATCAACTGATTTTACTCAAAAGAAATCCGTCTATAAGGATATGTACTTATAATTATTATTTTATTTTTTATTTAGTTACTTATACATTATTCTCTGATTAAAAAATAAATAAAAAACTGATTGAACCACAGAGTTATTCTCCAAACTATATAACACTTGCGGCAGTTTCAAATAGCGAAAACAAAAACAAGATACGCTTATAAGCAAAATTAAGAACTAAATATTTATACAATCGGTTTAAATCAGCGCTATTTTCCATTTATTATAGTAACCTAAATTTCTAAACATAAATTTTGACAACTAATCTGTTATTTATTTATTTTATTTTCGTTTTTATTTCCATCGAAAGATAAGAGCGGGATGCTGTGGTTTTCAAACAACTCTTCTGTTTGTCTTTTTTTTTTTTTTTTTTTTGGGTACTGTATGTTTACTGAAATAATTCCACAGCTCAAAAAAAATACCAACCGCTTCTTAAAGTTCGTAAACACACAAGGCTTTTAGGCTCCTGTTTGTTCCTCGTGCGTCTTTACATTTCTTGTGCACTGCTAGAATATTAAACTACCATTAGGTTTAGCTCGTCATTCGACCCGTAAAACTTTCTCAGAAATGAGAAATATTCCTCCTGTAAAAGTAGGGCACACAGCTTTAGCGCTATCAAACTCGAAGCGTTTTTATGATGTTTACTTGATTATTATCATAGATGGAATGAAAAAACAAATGTTTGAGTTAACAAAATTAATTTGTGTAAGATAGACACTTTTTGGACTGTATGGTCTGCATTTTTTTTAATATACAACATAAGAGGCAACCAATATTATGGTATTTAAAAAAAAAAAACATTGTTATTCTATTAAATTGATAATTCGAACTTAATCAGCCAGATATTTATTCATTAGATACTCATGCCCTTTCCAAAATATTAATCGATAAAGATTTATGACCTTTTCATTTTTATAAATCAGGGGTATATTCCTCCAACATTTTATTTAATCTTGACAACATTTCGGCAAACACTACGGCCATTTTCAAGTCTTAATTGAGTCGTCCAACAAAATATCCATATTCGATGTAATTTTCTTTATTCTGAGAAGATTTAGAAACTGTCCTAATATTTTAGGGTGTCTCCTTCGTGAGCTGTGGAGGAAGGACAGCCTAACATACTAGGACTAAAAGAGAGGGACAGACTAAAAACGAAACGTTGTCGAGATAAAATAAAAATAAATAAAATGTTGGTGGAATATAACCTTGATTTATAAAAATAAAAACCTCAAGACACTAAATCTAGGTATAATGAACAGAATAAATATTTATGACCTATTTTATTTATCCCGTCTTCCAAACCTCGTGTTCCGTGTTTTTTTTTTCTTTTACCATTTCTAGCGGAGTTGTTTGAGAGGTGAGAAGACTCATCCAGTCCAAACAGTGCCGCTGGACTCGAGAATGATAACCGGGAACGCTTTAATAAGCTCAACCACCACGCCCTCTTTGTTCTTCGTACTGTCTTCCTATTATCGTACTCCATCCTGTCCTCCTATACTCGTGATAATAAATTCAACAACAAATTCTTGAAAACCTATTATTCGAGAAAAAAATAAATTTCAAAAAATCAACATTTTAGGTATTTGTGGTTATAATGGTAGGGAATTTAAATTTACGAATAAATGCGTCTATAGTCACTTGAAAAAGGACTTCGTAATTTGTGCTACTGTGATTTTACCAAGGACGTCATCAAATTTCCAAACAATACAATAACTGTAGCTTTAGCACTTCCATTACTAAACTGGTTAATAATATCTCACGAAATAAACTAGAATGACACAGTAGATAAGCAGACCAGGCCAGAATAGAAATGAGTTGTATAGTTGGTAGTAGGTCAGGAGAAAGTATGAATCATTCTTGATCATGTTTTAGTAAATCTGCTGCTCATTCATTGGCTGTTTTGTAAATTAATCATAATCGCGGACCTAGGGGAGGAGAGGGTGCGAAAATATCGTTTCATCTCGCCTCCACAATATTTCGAAGAACGGAAAAAAATAACAATTAATTTACATGAATGAATAAAATGTGTAAACTAAAATCAATTAAGGAAAGAGGGAAATCAGACTAAAAGGCTAAGCTAAGGCACAGAAGTAGGTAAGCAAGTATTTTATCACGCCCTATTTTCCTATTATTGGAATTATAGTTTATATTTGAAGATAATTATATTGTTTAGCTTACGTTGTACAATGACATTAGTATTTTATTGTTAATATGATTAAGTATTATATTGTTCCTTATAGAATAATTATGTGGATTATGTCAATTATCACTCATATTTTTCATACATAATATTAACTTTAAATATTAATGTCAACGACTTTTTTTGTGGAGGGGGGGGGGAGGGAATCCATCGCCCAACCAAACCATATTGGGAAAGTCTGCGCCTATGATATTAATTACGCTAATTGATAACTTTAATCAATAATTTTATTATTATCAAACTGAATATTCTAGCGGTCTTGTAAACATCCAAGAATTGTCGCAATTGGTAATAGGGTAACTAGATGACAAATTCAAACACCTCTGCCACCTAGAGTTGACAGACACCTGAGCTGTGAAGGTGGCCTAGGGCTGTAGGACCCATAGG